ATTGATTTCAGAGAGGAAGGGAGAGGGAGAAAGAAAGAAACATCAATGATGAGAGAGAGTCATCGATCGGCTGCCTCCTACATGCTCCCTACTGGGATCAAGCCTGCAACCTGGGCATGTGCCCTGACCTGAATCAAACCCGGGACTCTTTAGTCTGCAGGCCAACGCTATATCCACTGAGCCAAACTGGGTAGGGCTGGGCCTCACTTTTTAAAATATACAGTGCAAGTCATGTACTGTACTGTTATTCCTATATCATAGTTGAGGAAATCGAGGCTCAGAGGGTTTGGGTGTTTTGCTCTAGGTTCTGCAGTTTGTAAGTGATTGAGTGGAGACCTTAAAAGCCCATCCTCCTGCCCTTGCTGGTTTGGCTCAGTGGATAGAGCGTCAGCTTGGGGACTGAAAGGTCCCAGGTTCGATTCCAGTCAAGGGCACAGGCCGGGGTTGCAGGCTCGATCCCCAGTGTGGGGGTGTGTGGGAGGCAGCCAATCAGTGATTCTCTCTCATCATTGATGTTTCTATCTCTCTCTCCCTCTTTCTTCCTCTCTGAAAGCAATAAAAATATATATATTTTTAAAAAGCCCATCCTCCTAATTACTTCTACTGTAAGAGGGATTGCTTTTATGTCAGGAGGAAAGAGGTTATAAAACAAGTAGTTCCTAAGCCAGCCTCCCCCCCTCCACAAAGTTCAGGTTCCCTTTGATTCATTCTTAAAGGGGTTTGAGTCTGGGAGAAGCCTCCAAGGCTCAGCCAATCAGAGCTCATGGAAGCGGGAAGAGTTCACGAAAGCGGGGTCCTTTGGGAATTTCCCTGCAGGCCTTCCCAGGATATGGAACCAGGGAAGCAGCTCCAAAGCTGGGGGTTGGGAGTGCTTGCCTTCCTACCCCCAAGGCTGGGCTGGCCCTAACCACCACCCCTCTCTTTGCCCGCCCACCCACCAGGTAATGTTCCCCGTTTTCCTGGGTGAGCCCGTATCTCCCGAGACCCTGGCAGCCACCCTGGCAGAGTTGGATGCGACCCTGCAGATATTTGAGGACAATTTCCTCCAGAACAAGGCCTTCCTCGTGGGGCCCCACATTTCCCTGGCCGACCTGGTGGCCATCACGGAGCTGATGCATGTGAGTGCTGTGGGCAGGGCAGGCCCGCTAGGCTGGGTGGGTCGCTGGAGTCCTCCGCCTGCCGCCCCGCCCTGGGACTGGGACATTGCTTATTTGTGGTCCCCTCTTCTGGAGCTATGTGGTCCCCAAACCAGGCAGGTGCTGCTTGGCCTCGCCCACCTGCCCGCCCTTACCCTGCCCTGTCCCCTCTTCCCCTACAGCCCGTGGGCGCTGGCTGCCAGATCTTTGAAAGCCGACCCAAGCTGGCTGCATGGAGCCAGCGCGTGGAGGCAGCGGTGGGGTCTCTCCTCTTCCGGGAGGCCCATGACGTCATCCTGAAGGCCAGTGACTTTCCACCTGCAGACCCTTCCGTAAAGCAGAAGCTGATGCCTAGGGTGCTGGCCATGATCCAATGAGCCGGGAAGCCTCCCCGCCGGCTCTGCCCTTAGCAGATCACAAAGCACCTTCATGAGGCCCCAGAGAGCAGGAGTGACTTGCCTGAGTCCCATTGCTCCCCAGGCCAGGCCCCTAGCCCCACCCCCTCTTCCATTGCGACCTGAAAAGCGTTAGAGAAGAATAGCCCACTCAGACTTGTCTCCTTTAGTCACTAATTTCCTTTGCAGTTTGGTAAATAAACCTGGGCTTAGCGGCCTGAGCCTCGACTTCTAACGCCGTTGTGTGATTTATCTGACCTTCTTCAGACCGGGTCTTGGTTGGTCTCTGTCCAAAAGATAACCCTCCTTTGTAGGCCGTGAGGGTCAGCTTCTCCCTGCTGGTTGCCAAGAGTGAAATGAACAACAGCCCTCTGGCCTTCTAATTCCCAGGGGAAGTAATTTACCAGCAAGCACAGGGCTCAGCAATCATCCCCCAAGTGTTGGCTGTAGGCATGCTGGTAGACCAGTTGGCTGGGCCGGCCTCCCAGGACATTGCCCTTTGGTACCAAATATTGTAAGTCATGAGCCCTGCATCTGCCCTGAGGAATCGGTCAGGGGAGGGGAAAATCTGAATGGCAACCCACCTGGTTGTTACCGGTCCAAAGTTCATGTGCCTCAAAAGGCCAAAACTCAAAATGGGTTCGAGTTTGGAGTTCAGGAAAGGCGCAAGCTGAGAGCAGGGGAGACCTGGAGTCCCTCTCACCCAAGCACAGAGTTCAGGCTGCCTTTATGTCCAGAAAGGGGACATGGGAGGGGCTGTCTTTGCAGAATTCAAACCTCAGGCAGAATTCTTCTAATGGATAGCGGGTCTACATGCAAGACTGAGCAGAAAGTGTTAGCCGGCAGGGTGTGGGAGCAAGGCGGCCTGGAACAAGATGGAGTCCGAGAGAGACTGAGCATTTCCCTCTGTTACATGGTCAGGACCTAGTCACTCAGAGCCTTCACTGCCACAGAGAGGCCCTGTGAGCCGTGAGCAGGAATGGTGTGCTCAGGTTGTATTTCAGAAGAATATTCTGGCAGCTGGGGGGGTTGGACTGGAGGATGGCCAGGGAGGAGGCAGGGAGATTGGATATTGCAGCGACCCAGTCAAAGGTGACTGGGGGTGGGGGGAGGGCAGAGTGGCAGCTGGGGGGGGGGTTGGACTGGAGGGTGGCCAGGGAGGAGGCAGGGAGACTGGATATTGCAGTGCTGCTTGGCCTCACCCATCCACCCTTACCCTGCCCTGTCCCCTCTTCCCCTTCAGCCCGTGGGTAGAGAGGTGCCTGGTGGAAAGGGGCAGACCCCTGATAGGGGTGGAGGACAGGCTCCTTCCAGCCTGGAGCGGGGGGTAGGGCTTCCTTAACTGGGGAGCATGGGGGACCAGGGAGGCCAAGCTATTCTCAAAATTTCCAGTGGCTGATCCTCTTGCCAAGTGGCTTTCTTGGGCTTGGGGGCAGAGTCTTCTCCCCTCCCCCCCCCAAAAAATATATATTTGTATTGATTTCAGAGAGGAAGGGAGAGGGAGAGATAAAAACATCAATGATGAGAAAGACTCATCGATCGGCTGCCCCCTGCGCACACTCCACTGAGGATCGAGCCCTCAACCTGGGCCTGTGACCTGATGGGGATTCGAACTGTGACCTCCTGGTTCACAGGTCGAGGCTCAACCACTGAGCCATGCCAGCCGGGCGGGGCAGGGTCTTCTTAACCCGGGCGGGCATGACAGCCGCGGGCCCAAGGAGCTCCAGGGTCACAGTGGGGAAGGTCCAGGGCCCTGCAAGCCTTCCATGAACCTACAGGGCTTCTGCTCTCTGGGAGGGATGAACTGGAGTGTGCGGAACGTGACGCTAGGCTAGGGGCTGGGGAGGCGCGGCTAATTCTCGGAATGTGGGTTAGGCCCCTGCAGAGAGCAGGTCCAGGCGCCCCAGCCTCCCCCCTGGCACTGCGCACCCCCTTTCTCTCCTCCCTAGTGTTCTCAGCGGCTCTGACGCCCTTCCTCTCTCAGCCTCCTCCCTGGGTCCGGGTCAGGGCTGGGGCGCCCTTCCCGTCTGTGTCCCATGATCATCCCCGCTGTCCATTGGACAAAGGAAGGCACTGAGGTCCAGGGAAGGGGTGTGACCTGGCCCAGACCCCAGCTTAGACCCCCGAGGGAGAAGGTGGGAGGTGCGGGCGCCGCTGATTGGCCCGCAGTTACCCGAGCCACCCAATAGG